AGCATGCCGTGCAGGCAGCAGCAGCAACAACAACAGCGACAAACGCAACAGCTGCAGCAGCAGAAAGGAGCCGCTGGTTCTGAGTTTATGGAAACAGACCTTGAAACGGAAGGGACACCCTGGGACCCCTCCTTGCCGGCATCCCTATTTGAAGATGATGAAATGGCGTTACTGCGGCAACCACCTCTGCAGCAGCCGCTAAAGCTTCAGCAGCCTAGCCAGTCCTTTTTGACGCCCAACCCGAAGCAGCATTCTCAAGTGCTGCTGCAGGGACAGCAAATGCAGCCACTGCTGCCTCAGGTAATGGAGAAACAAATAGCCGGGCAAGGACCCCCGCTGCAACAAGTGCAAACGCGGCAGCAGCCGCTGCGGCAAGAGCATTTTCAGCTGCTGCCACAGCAACTCTTGCAGATGCAGCAGCCAATACATCAGCCGCTGGAGCAGAATTTGCAGCAGCAGCTTCTCCAACCCCCACAGCAGCTGGGTGAAGGGATTCCGCAACAGGTTTCTGCCCCTTGCGCTGGGTTATCTCTCTCTAGACAACTATCTGCTACCCCGCACATGCTCGCGCAGCCGCTTAGAAAGCAGATACAACAGCCGCTTCAGCAACCACTCAGTCAGATACTGAGACCGCCTCTACAACGGGAATTACAGCAGCATCCACGGCAGGATCAACAGCAGCAACTGCAGAAGGATCTGTGGTACACTCCAGCACAGCAGCCAGAAGGTGCAAATCTCCTGTCAAATGAACCACAGAGACAACCACGGCCAGCAACAGTCGGCGGCGTAACAACGCCACAGGTGCAGCTTCTGCTGCAGCAGCTACAACTAGAGCCGCAAAGTACTAGTTACCAGAGGCAAGAAGCCGCCCCAAACTCCCCTCCTTTTCAGCTGCCGAGTTGCCGAAGCCACACTGCATGGCAACAGCAACAGCAGCAGCAGTTGCTTCTCCTAACGCAAGATAAACAACACGAACCTCAGCAATTTTTGTCGCTCCCGAAGCAGAAGGTGCAGCAGCAAACGCACCTGCAAATGCAGCAGCAGGTGGAGCAGCCGATGAAGCAGCAAGTGCAGCAGCAGGTGCAGCAGCAAGTGCAACAGCAAGTGCAGCAGCAAGTGCAGCAGCAAGTGCAGCAGCAAGTGCAGCAGCAAGTGCAGCAGCAAGTGCAGCAGCGAGTGCAACAGCAGGTGCAGCAGCAAGTGCAGCAGCAAATTCGACAACACCAGATACACCAAGAGCCTCTGGAGCCGCATTGCTGTGGCTCCCATGCGTTGAACAATTCGGTAGCCTTCACCTCTGCGCAGCCTTCGTGCATTCAGAGCAACTGCAGCAGTCCCCCATTCCATTCACCACGATCTGTTAACCTTCAGGGGGCTTCCCCAAAGCAGCAGCAGCAGCAGGCGCTGTTACATCCCGGCGCACCTATGCCGCAGCAACAGCAACTGGGGGACGGGCGCTGCTGCATCAGCGCTTGTTCAGAAAATCAGAGCCCGTGGAAAGGCAGAAACAGGCAAGGACAGCAGAGGCAGCAGCGGCAGCAACAACGGCAAGATAGTGCCGGAAGGAAACAGCAGCGGCTGTATGAGCTGCAGCAGGAACAGCGAGCTGCCAGGTTGCAGCAACAGGTGCAACAACTGCATCGGCAGGTGAGGCGGCTGCTGCGAAAGCACAAAGGGGAGCAGCAGCTGCTGTTACAACAGCTTGAAGGGGGAAGGGAACAGGAACAGCAGCTTGAGGGGCTCCGACTGCAGCAGCAAACTCTGCTGCAACAGCTGCTGCAGCAGGATGCAAATGTTTTGAAGGCTCTGGAGATGCTACAGCAACTACAGCAGCTTCAGGCTACAGTTGGAGCAGCAGCAGTTGGAGCAGCAGACAATCCTATCTCAGTGCAGCAGAATGTCTTGTTGACTCCACGTACAGAGCAGTTACAGTTGCAGCAAAGGCAGCAAAGGCAGCAGCAGTTGCTGCTGCAGCAGCAAATACTGGAGCAGAGGACAGCTCAATTGTGGCAGGAGCAACTATTGCTGCAGCAAAGACGGGAGGAATTTGAACGTGAGTTGCTGCAGCTGAAGCATTCAGTAGAACAGCAGCAGTGGGCGCAGCAGCACCAAGAGGGCACAGGGCTACAGCGCACCATTAGGCGCTTCCTGCAGCGCTTTGGTGTAGGCGCAGACCCAGAAAGTACAACAGCAACAGTAGCAAGGGCGACAGCAGCGCAGGCGCAGGCGCTACAGGCGAGGGCGCTTAACTGGAAGGGCCTTGTGGAACAACAGCGGAGATGCCATCTCCTGGGGCAGCAGCAGCAACAGGACTTGTGGCGGCAGCAACAACAGCAGCGCCTGCTACACCTCGTTGATGTCCTCTCGGCGTCTGCAGGTAAAGACTTGCGCCAACTCCACCAAGCCGCACGCAGCAGCAGCATCAGTAGCAACCGTCTCCGCGGGAAGGATTGGCAGAGCTGTTGCAGCTCAGATAGCAGCAGCATATCTTCAAGAAGCAGCAGCTGCAGCAGCAGAGCCGACTTGCGAGAGCCAGCACTAACATCGAGAGTTTTCTGGGGAACTCCAACAGTGGCTCACAGCTAAAGCTGGGGCAGCAGCTACAGTAGCGTTTGTTGCCGCTGCTACTGCGGAGTCAGCGGCTGGCTTGCTACATCGAAATCATTATATTATTGCAGCCTGCTGCTGGTCGCAGCTGTAGCAGCAGCAGCAGATCCTGCCGCAGTGCGTTCTTCCTTGTCTTGCTAAGAGCAACTGAATACCTTCCTTATGGATCCACGCTTTAAGCCAGGTTCCAACGGTGCTTGCTTGCTACTTAACTTCTGTGCACTCTTATGGCTGCAGAAGCAGAATCAGAAAGCATGCAACATGCAGAATGTTTCGCATGAGGTGAACGACAGCAAAATTGCTTCATACGTCCCACCCCATCTTCTTGACAATTTCCCTCGAACACAAGAACAGCATCGCACCATGACCCGCAAACAGTACACAGTACCTCATTCCCTACAAAATCACTTTGCTGTACCTCGGTCATCACAAGGCCACGCAGTACCAGGAACCAGAATGCCATGTTGGCTGTGTGCGGAATGCTCCACAGCTAGCTCTGGGCTTGACTAAAGAGCCTCTCGAAGAAATCTACGAAGCTTTAATACTGCAGCAGATGTCACTGCTGTTGCCCACAGCTCGAAGAGCAACTGCATTTGCTGCTGTTGATGCATAAAAGCCCAGGCAGCATCACTTGCTGTGGCAAAAATCCTGGTTTTCTGGAGAATCCGGCTGGAGACAGCAAGCATAATGGCACCAGTATCTACTGAATGGTGTTGCAAACAACGGATCTAGTTCAGCTAGGGGCCTCCAGGGATCTTGTTCGGCTTTGGAAGACACGAAATCTGCTGCAGGAATACATTTCCACGACAGCATCAGTATTGTCGCACCGACACTGTGGTCACTGTCGCAGTAGTAGCAGTCCCTTGGTAGGTGTAGTCAGCACCAGACGGCCCCAGGCCAATCTTCCTGGGTTCTACTCTCCCCTATTGGATGAGGTTGCCCTTCTGTAGAAAAAATCCCGTAACGCTGGCCAGCCAGATGCCCCCGACCGAATGTGTAACGCTTGTACCTCAGGACTTCATGCATGACTCTGTCAAACTACCCCTCTATCATATCCGTATGCTGCATATGACCTTCTCCTTATGCGGAATAATACCGATTATACGTAGTTTTGCCAAATCGTGTGTCACTCCCCACCACATAGCTGTATATTCTGGAAGGAGAACGCTTGCCTCCCCACTGTCTCGTGTGGCTACACCTGACCTCTTCCGATGCTCTGCGGAGCGACCTCTGTCTGTGCAGCCCAAAATTGCATGCAGCTGGGCTCCTTACACTTTCTCGCTTAGTAAGGGGGGCATGTACGGGCAGGATTAGCTCCACAGTGCCAAGGAGGTTCCCCGTGTTCAGCGATCACGGGTACTCTAGCAACCCTCTCCTCTGCTCCGGGCTGAGGTGAGACCGACAAGAACCATTGGCCTTAGGTGTTGCTGAGGAGTGTGTCGGTATTGGCAACGTCAATAGTATCTAAACCACATGCACCATCTTCAGAAGCACGGACGCAGGAGCAGCTGCTAAGCGAAGGAGGCTCTTGGGCAGCGAGACAGGGGAAGCTTCGGCATTTCTTTACTAGAGGTAACTCTAAACTAAAGAGTTTTGCTTGATGCAGCAGAAGACAGGCGAGTAACAGTAGCAACAGCAGCAGAACAGCAGTAGCAGCAGCAGCAGTACAGACATCAGCTGCAGCAACAGCAGCAGCAACAGCATCACCTTCACAGATTTATTGCAAGAAGCAACTTTATACGCACCGATATTGTGAAAGTTGCAACCCAATTTAGTATATGTGTTCGAGCATGAGTTGCCGTCAATTGTTCTCTCCGCTCTGCAGAACGATGAGCTTACCGGTGCTGCCAAGCCAGCGTGGGCCTCGGGGGGCCCCAGCTACATGAGCAGCTGCGGCATCACGAGGAGGCTGTGTGTCGATCTTTGGCATTGTGGCTGCAGATCCTGCCTTCTGAAACCGTTCCAGTGCTGGTGAAGAGATAATTGAACGTCTTCTTAAGCCAGGAGCAGCAGCTACCACAGGTGCAGCAACGGCTGTAGGAACAACACTTGCACGAGGCTTGTGAAGTGGAGCAGCAGCGGGGCGTCCTGGTCCCGACGCAGCTTTTAACTTCCATATCTAGTAGTTGACACTCAAGAATCAAGCGATAAGCCATAAGCCCTAGTGTACGAAGTGTACGTTGGGGGGTCGACGCTGCTGCCGCGGGCTGGGCCTTCCTGTGGGGAGGGCTTAGACCGTTGCTGCGGTGAACCAGCAGCAACTTCACCGCCAGCAGCATCTAAATACGATTTTTTCTGAAGCGCAGTAGCGGTGGCTGCAGCAGCTGCGTCCGCAGCAGCAGTAAGGCTGTGGTCCTGGAAGAGCCCGTCGCTGGTCAAAGTTGTGGGCAGCGATGGCAGCAGCAGAGGCCGATGCAGCAACAGGAGCAGCAACAGTCGCTGCGCTGCTGCAACCGGGCCAGCAACACTCTCAGAAGGCGGGGGGGCTGACGATGGGCCAAAAGCTGCAGCAGCCGTTGCTGCTTCTCCGACAACTGCAGCGTCTGCGGCAGTCGCAGCCGCAGCAACCGCACGAGCCCGCCGAAGGTATAGAAGGCGGAGCTGTAGCAGACGTAGCGCACCAACATCTGCTGCAGCAGCTACAGGAACTGCAACAGGAACAGCAGCGGCAGCTGCAGCAGCAGCTGCAGCAGCATCAAGTGCAGCAGCACCAGCTGCAGCAGCAAGAACAGCAGGAAACGCATCAAGGACTGCGGCATCAGCTTCTTCAGCAAGTACTGCAGCCACATGGTGACGACCTGGACCAACAAATTCTTCTGCAGCAGCGAATTCTGCGGGAGCAGCAGCAGCAGCTATTGCAACTGCGGTCTAGCGGCCTCGGAAACAATATGGGTGCAGCCCCGTTAAAGCCAGATCCGCTTGTGCTCCAGCTGCAGCAGCAGCTGTTACAGCAGCAGCGGCTGACGCCGACCCCGCAGCAGCTTGCAGTGCAGTGCAGCAACTTGCAGCAGCAAGTGCTGCTGCTGCAGCAGGCTCTACAAAGCAGTAGTAAGGAGACCTTGGCGGGGCTTAAAGGGACGTTGCAACAGCAGCAGCAGCGTTTACAGCTTTTGCTTTTCCAGCGACTACAACAGCTGCAGCCTCAGCGGCAGCAGATGCCGACGTTCCCCGTGGGCGAGATAACTAGTGGCATCGCTGCCCCCGTGCAGCAACAGCAAACGCTGGGGCTGAGCTTAGCACAGCCTGAGCCTTGGGCGTTTGCTTCTGACTCGCAGCAGCAACAACAGCTGCCGAAAAGGGAGCGCCGGGGAGCTCTTAGGGGGCCCCAGTTGCAGCTGCCCGCTGCTGAGCTGCGCAGTCGAAATGGCAAGCGACACATGAAACACCAAGGTGGAGAAAAGTGGGATGCAGCAGCTGCGGCAGCAGCCGCAGCGGAGGCAGCAGCAGAGGCAGCGGCGGCGGCGGCAGCAGTGAGCACCGTAGAAGCAGCCCCAGGAAAGCGCCGAAGGATCCCCTCCGCGAAGGCACTGGCAGCAGCAGCTGATGCTGCTGCTGTTGCCGCTGCAGCAACAGCAGCAGCAAGAGCTGCCGATAGTTCCTACCGTCCGCATCCTAAGTGGGAATGGGTCTCCCAGCAGCAGGAACGTCAGCTGCAGCAAACACAGCAGCAACAGCGGCCACGACAGCAACGCCAGCGACATGTGGCACCACCTGAGCAGTTCCCGACGATTCCAACCTCTCGGCAAGCCCAGCTAGCTGCGCAACACGAGGAGAAGCTGCGGCTGCACCAGCAGCAGCTGCTGCTGCAGGAAGAGCAAGAGCGGCAGCAGGTACAGCGGGCACAAACCAAGCGAGAAACTTTTCAACAGAAGCTTCAGCAGCAGTCGCAACACCAGCAAAAGCACCACGTGTATGCCCATCCTTTGTGGCGTCGCCTGCAGCAACTCTGTGAGCTGCCCGCTTTACGGGTGTTGCTTCAAACTGCCGCAGACCAACAGCAGCAGCAGATCTTTGCTGCAGGAGCAGGACTGGCAAGGGCCGACTGCCTGATAGACACATTGGCTGAGGCTTACCATAAGTCGCTGCGGCTGTTGGCGCAGCATGGGGTATTGCTGCTTTGCGAAGCAGGCAGCAACAGCAGAAAGACTGCAGCTGCTGCTGCAGCGGCAGCTGCTACAAGCAGTAGCAGCAGCGTAATTTACACTCGGCATGTCCCTGCAGCTTGTAGTGCCATTCGTACTGAGGCAAACTCTCGGGACCCGTGCCCTGCAGCAGAAGCAGCAGCAGCAGTCACGGCGACAGCAGCAGGGAATGGTTGCGAAAATGGGAAAAGGGGGAGGAGGGAAGCCAGTGGCTTACTGCTGCAGCACGGGCTGCTGTTACTGGCAGCCGACCGCCAGGTGGACTCTCCTGAGCAGCTGCTAGAGCAGCCGTTAGACAGTAAGTAGCAGCAGTTCGCAGCAACAGCAGTAGCACTTTGTTTTCCCACGTAGCATGCCCCTCAGTTTCTTTTCAGCACCATTTGTTATTTTCTGGTGCTAGTGCTGCTGCTGCTGCAGGCGAAGTATTGCAGTTCCCTTGCGGGGCTCATCTGCAGCTTTTGCCTTGTTGCAACGGTGGGGATAGTGAGAGCTGCCGCAGCGGCAGCAGCACCAACGACAGCAGCAGCAACGGCAACAGAGACAATAGCACGGATGAGATGATCGGCGTCATATCGCTTGCGTGGTGCGCTCCAGGGGCCGTACGCGAATTGTTACAGGCAGTGCTGTGCGCTGCTGCGTGCATGGTTCTGGCTGCGAGCAGCAACAGCTCTAGCAGCAGTAGCTGCTGCGGGACAGACGAGCTTCGCGGGGTGTACTGCTGCACGGGAGACGCAGCTCAGCAGCAGCAGCAGCAGTTGATTTCCGCAGTTTTAAAATCCCTCGGAGCAGTAGTAAGCCTCGCCACCGCCACCAGCACAAGCATCAGGATTTTAGCATCGGCACTAATCGCTGTGTAGAATTTAGTGCAATCCTGGTTAGCGGATCTATCTTTCGCCTGTGTGCTCTGTTTTGCAGCCAAGCGGCCCTCCTCCATGTGCCGCAACGAACTGGAAGGGAGATGGCAGCAGCAAGTGGCTCTACCTCGAGGGCGCAGTTTTGGCAGATAGGCAGCGGTTACTTCAGCAGCAGCTGCACGTATCTCCTGGCATAGTGCACAAGACTTTAGATACGTGCTCTCTACTCAGGGATGGCATCCAGGTGTACAGAAATGTGGTGGGTTGCTTCTGTATCCGTTGCAGTGATTGCCACCGTTGCTATCTCAAGTACTGCCCTTGAGTCCTGCTACCTGATTGCTTCCGGTTGATATTTCCGTGTTACTTTGTGGCGACTGTTACTGTGACTGCTGCTGCCACTGCCAGTGTATCTGCCGTGCTGCCTTAACAGCCAGGGGTGCCGACTGTGAACGGAGTTGCAGCTACGACGGCAACTGCTTACTTTGCTTTCAAAAGCTATAACTGTTTGTCTCTTCCTTTGCTGCCTCAGGTCCCCCTTGAAGAGATTGCTGTGGTTGGGCGACTTGTGCATGCTCATTTTGCTTTGTTGATGGATCGCGTGCTGCAGCAACAGCAGCACCAACACTGGCCGTATCAGCAGTCTTCGATCTTCAAGTACGACGGCATCGCTTGTAGAAACTCACCACTGTAAGTCGCTGCGTGCGCTGTTATTGTTACTGCTGCCAGCGGCGCTGTGTTTCCTAGCCGTGGTGGTGCGGATGCCTCTGTTGCAGCAGCAGCAGCAATATAGCGGTAGCGGCAGCAGCCAGTAGCCAAAGGAGCAACAGCTACTCTGTTACCGTTTGGTGGACTGTTTTTGGCCTGTTCATTCTTTAGTGTCTGTAGTGGAGAATTTTGTGAGGTTTGAGATTGACGGCAGCAGCAGCTGCAACAGCAGTACTATGAAGAGAGCGCTGGCAGTGCGTTTTCGCCGCAGGCGTGTTGATGTGAATGTATCGGAACCGCACCTTGAATATGGGCAGGGGCCCCTAAGGGAGATGCATACTCTGCTTCGAAACAAACTGCGGCTTCTAGTTCAGCGCGTTGCTGCCGCGATGGCTGTGGATTTTTGCTCTTGGGAGAAAGCTGTTGTAAGGAGACAGCACCGACACGAGCAGCTTGAGCAACAGCAGCAGGACGGGTTGCGGATCGAGAGAGACAAGAGGGAGTTGCAGAGAAATAGCGGGGGCAGCACGACAGCAAGCACTGCAACTGAGTTGGACGACGATGATACTCCCCGCGCAGCAGCAGCAGGGACGGCGCAGGCAGGAGCAGCCACACCAACGGCACACTCGGGAGAAGTGACAAGCCCGTGCATGAGTGCTGCTCGTGGTCCCTCATGGAATGCGGGGTCGGACTGCCCCACATTTTCCACTGTAAAGTTGGAGGGAAGTGCGGCTGAGCCTTCAATACCAGCAACTGCAGAAGCTCAAGAAGTGCAGGCGGAGCCGGCATGGCAACAGGTTACTTGCGGATATCTAATGTCTTTGGGGCCGCACGAAAACAACCAAAAGATTCACTATGACTACCACGAGGAAGCGCACAAGTAAGGGCGCATTGCCGTCAGGGTGCAGCAATAGTTGTGCAAATAGCGCCCGTAGAAACAGCAGCAATGCTAGCACCGTGTGCTGCAGCACCTGCCGCAGTAAGATCAGGAAAGGAAACAGGCTAGCCGCAGCAGCCTCTGTTGTTGCTGCTGTGCTGCGATTATTTTCAGACGGAACATCGTGAGCGCGTTCATCCCACTTGTGAATCTGACCAGCAGCAACTCACCCACAACCTTTTTCATCGGGTCCCACCCTGTCTTCTCGAATGCGCAGGCTGGTAAGAGCAAGCACTTTGTTTTTCGTAACTGTCCCTGCTGTTCCTGGCTCTCCGTTTTTCCTCCTGCCATGAGAAGTGCTTTTGCCACACTGTTCCCGGCGTTCGAATTCGATCTTGCCTGCGTTCATTCGCTTTTTCTTCTGATATTACGTGTATCTAGTGGAGCTTTGGCGCTTTTCGTGGTGCACCCATTGCGGCGTCTTGTGCTTCTCTTTTGATACCTTCTTTGCTGATTCTGCTTCTGCCTTTGGCCAAGGGCTTGCATGCTGTTTCTCACGTTTAATTATTTTCCAGTAATAGATTGAACGCATTATTGGCCTGCTTGGTTTTGCCCCAGGGGACCTAGTCATCATGGACAACATTGTGCGGCACAGGGGCAGCAGTCATTCAGCTGCTTCTCTACGTCCCCTCATTTATATGTCACTTGTAGACAGACGGTTCTGCGGAGGAGAGAAAGTAGGCAGCAAAACGCATTTCCTGAACTGGCAGCAGTACCCGCACATTCCACAGCAGCAGCAGCAGCAAGCGCTCGAGAAGGAACCAAAAGGAAAAGCTGGGGCAGAAGGAGAGGTGAATACTCCTACTGATGCTACCTTATGTGAGGAGGCGCCCTCGACTGCCGGTGAGGAAAACCCATCGCAGCCCCCAAGCGACGGCGAGGCTTCTTCTGGTCCCGCGGAGGCAGCAAGAAGCCATTTGAAGCAGCAGCAGCAGGAGGAGGATGAAGAATGTGTTTTGGATCTTACGGAAGCGGAGGCTGCCGCGACAAACCTCGAGGAGCTCTGCGCAATAAATACCATCGATCCCCTGCAGTTGTTGCAGCCGGAGACACAGCAGCAGCAAGAGCAGGTGAAGTGCTGCGAGCGGATCGCAGCTAGAGGCGAGTCGCCAGCTAAGATTCGCGTGTCTCTGCACCGCATGCAGCGTCACCTGCAGCGAATGCTGCTGTACCGGTATATGGTGTACAAGCAGCAACAAACTGCGCTGCAGGATGTGTAGAAGGAAACACAGCAGTGCCCCGTAGAGGCGGCAGAAGGCGTTTGGACGTGGTGGACAAGAGGGCTATTCCTCACTCGCTGCAGAGGGATAAAGTAACACGTAGCTGCTCTAGCTAGCCGCTCTTCGAACTAGCCAAATGGCAACAAGGGAGCTAGCTGGCGATCCTAGCGCTACCTGGCAGCGATTCATCAGCTATCACGGCGCAGCAGTGCTCGACGAAGAGCCCATGAGAAGGCCGTTAATTCTTGTAAAAGGCAGTGACTCTTAAGTCTTCTCACGCGCTTGATTTGGACAGTTGGTTTGCCGTCTATCTGGCTCCCTGCCGAGTTAACTGCTCCCGCAGCCAAAATGTTTGGGTCAGGGTTCCCCTTAAGGAGTTTTACAGTGGTCGCCGAGCGACTTTGGGACTTCTAGGTGGTTATCTGGGTAGTCAGCTCTCGTTAATCAGTTGACTAGCTAGTTTATTTTTTGCGGGGCACTCATACTTTTCAGGGCGCCCGAAACCCACACTGTGGAAGGAAAAACTTGACGGATCGCTGCGAGCAGTAGATGCAGGCGTTTGCTGCGCTGTAGGCCTCCAGCAGATGCTTGCTGCTTGTAATCTACCAGCCCAGCTCAATAGCCCAAGTCGGGTCTGTCGCTAGCGTCCCAGGGGTCTCAATGAGGACTCTATAGACTGGATGACTGAAACAAGCGTCCTGGAGCTTTTGCTGTAGCTGCAGCTCATCACTCTCCGTCTTCTGCCGCAGGAGGCCCGCCAGGTGTTCCCGAGTTGCTGCGTGCTGCTTCTGTTGCATTTGCCGCTTTGCGTGCTCTGCATTTGCTTTGCATGTTGCCGGTGCTTCAGAAGCAGCGGCTGCAGCAGGAACGGCGTCTTCTGCTATGCCAGTAGCCGCAGGAGCGCAGGGCGCAGCAGCCTCTGCAGTGAAGAACGCTTCTTGGGTCTTCCGCAGCTCGTCTTCTCTGGGGTTCAGAGGCAGGGCAGAGACGGAAAACTTGAGCGGCCGCTGCCCCGAACCCGTCTCTGTAAGTACAGCTGAGGCAGGCGGCGTCCGTACACCCCAAACGGCCACATGCGATACTGCAGCACAGGAAAAGCGACAGCAACACAACTAGCACAGCAGTGCAAGCCCCAGGTACTGCAAACAAACATACCACGGGCGATGCGGCAGCATGCACATGAACAGCAATCATAGTAGCACTTTATACGCAGGAAATGTCTCTTTGGGACATCATATCCAGTAACTCACTGCATGCATTGAGCGACTCCCCAAGACTGAGCGTTCCGTAGACCCAGGGGCACGTAGGACCTCCCAACGGGAGAGGCTCTGACTCAGGCCAGATGAGAAGTCCCTTCGATGCGCTGCTGCTGCTGCTGCGTGGACCCTGTTGGTGTTGCTCTTGCTGCTGTGCTTGCTGCTGCTCTTGCTGGTGCTGCAGTGTGCGGGCCCTAATCCTGAGATATAGAAAGCGTCCTTGTTTGCACTGAAATGAAATGCCGTCGTCGAGATATAGTCTCCCTTCTGCTGCGCCTTCTGGGCTCAAATATACATGCAACTGCAGCAAAATGCAAGCAACAGCAGCGGCACAAGAGTCACTAAACGCAAAACCGCTGTTTTTAGTAGCCTCCGTATTAACTGCTGCTCATCTTATTCCCTTTAGTAACTTTCCAATGCGTGAGTCCTTGCCCCTGTAGAAAATCCCGAGACCCAGACCTCAAACCCTGAGCCCTGGGAGCTGAGGTACCGTGAGCGGCTCTCGCATGCAGAGCAGGGCCGACTTGCTCGGTGCCTCTCGAGTGGCAACAATAGCACCGCCCTTCACGAAGACAGGAATGCGTCGTAAAGTTAGTGGAAAACTGCAACTGGACTTTGTTTTTGGCTGGCCTGTAGCTGTTGCCGCAGACTCACGGCAGCAGACCGAGCCCGTATCCGCGTCGTACCTGCAGGAACGCGCAGCTAAAATGATTTTGTCGTGGCTGCTGCCACTGCTGTTGCTGTTGCCGCCTCCGCCACGACCCTGAGAGCAGCTGCTGTTGTTGCTAGCTAAACTTCTCCGCTGCTTTGGCTTACCACAGCATTCCTCTAGGAAGATGCAGCTCGGTAAGCTGTTGATGCACATGTATTTCATGCTGCTGCTGTTGCTGCTGTTCATGCAGCTGTCGTGACTCCTCGTGTGAATGCTGCTTGCTAGTGTCTTTTGTCTGCTGTTGCTGTGTCTCCCTTGGCAGCATGGAATGAAGGATAGGCTGTACGTAGATTTGGCTGCCCACAAGAAACGGCTGCGTGCTGCTGCTGCTGCTGATGCTGCTTCCTGCACGCGCTGCTTCTGTCGAAGCGTCTAGCCACCATATGGGTCTTACGATAGGATCGCCAAAGAAAGAATATTCCGCACACAGAGTGTACCTTGGAATCACAGGGCTCACAGAAAAGCAATTGTTGCCGTAGCTTCAGCGAAGGTCACCTCACCAGCAGAGCAGTACACAGCAGCAGCACCAGGTAAAAGCATACTGGAAGCTGTATCCGCCACGCAGCTGGTACCCGAAAGCAAAAGCAGCAGCACCAGCAGCAGCTACTACAGACACAGCAGCAATACTGCTACCAATGTGGAAGTAACGTAAGCTCCACCATGACCAAGTTAAGAATCAAGCGAAGTAGTAACACAAAGCAGCAGCGAGCCGTCTTCATCTGGGCAGCAAAACATCAGGTGCATGTGGCGCTCACCAGTAGGGCATGAATCTATATCTGTCAAGCACTGCTTTGCGCACAAAAGGCAAAATGAGACTGTCTCTAAAGGCCTCTCTCTTCGCTGCTGCCTTTTCGCAATGGACTCGGTAGAAAGGGAGCCATGCACCGAGTTGGTGCCACCGGAGCAGCAACTCGGGGCCTGTACTGCCAATAAATCCGCCCACGTCAGCACCTGAAAAGAAGTTGTAGCAGTAGTAACAACAGCAATGCCAGAGTCAGAAGTTTCAAAGGGAGCAAAGGCTCTTCTCGTACCCCAGGATATTCCTGTAGGCAAGGAAGTACAGCAGCAGCACTACATCAGCACCAGCAAAAGACACCGCAGCAGCCACCTTTTAGGTCACAACTGCACTAAAGATGCGCACATCCCTTCATTTTGCCTGCTACTGTTGCCTATCTCTTGCATACTGTGTTCTTCTCTCTGGCTGCTGCTTTCTAGTTTCTTGCCGTTAATACACCTCACCTACTAGAGACTGCCCGCAAGCAGCAGCAGACAACACCATCGGCACTACACAGCGCAGGTGAGCCCAAGATGCTTCATTGTCTCCCGTCCACAAAAAGGCCCACCGCCAAGAACCCAAAAAGCCAGCTCTGCAACAGAAGCCGCGGCACAGGATGAGGCAGAGTTTCGTGAGTGGGAGCAGTTAGGAGAACGCGGCCGTTCAATTCTGTGCAGGTCTTTGCACACTGCGCCGGCCAAGTACTTCATGAATGGTTGACAAGCAGGAAACACGAAATCACCTGCCACTAGGCCAGATAAGTCTAATTGCTAATTCGGTCGTTCGCCGCCGGGGCAGCTGGTCACCGAACAGCGATCGCTGGCTAGTAAGCTAGCTAGCCAGCATAGCTAGTTACCTGGAGAGAAGAAATGGCCTGCGAGTCCCCTGACTGCGAGCTAAGAGACCCTCGTAGGACGCGCTTTGCTGCAACAGGCCGTAAAGATTGTGAACCCTCCAGTGCTCTACCAGTTCTTCAATGTCACCGCCCTTCTTTGCAGCCAACGCAGTGGAAGAAGCAGCGGCAGGAACTGGGTCGGCTTTGTGGAGGGCTCCCCTTGGCAGCGTCAGCTCCTTGCAACCAAATATGGAGGGCTCGTTCATGTCGTTCCATAAACCCAAGTTAGATATTCCTTTCCAGCTGCGCCGCACCCATGAGGACCACCATTCCCGAGTCTGTAGCAGCAGCCGCAACACCACAAGATGCCGTCAAGCGCAAGAATCGACAAAGCTGTAAACAGAGAGAAAAAACGCTGGAAAGCTAGCGCAAGTGCTGCGAGCCACCACAGATGCAGCACATAGTAAATCAGGCGGCGCTGCTACTGCTGCTGCCCCTACTGTTGCGGATTCAGCAGATAAGATGCACACTGTTCGCAATACTCAGTAAAGGGACTTTGAGAAAAGAAAATGCAATGAGCCACTAGCCTATGGTAAAGGATCAACATGGCGAGTTTACCTTTTGACGCAGGTAGTCTGGCCAAACGCAGAAGCCCGCCCAACTGCGACCCACAAAGGGGAAACCGTAACGCTAAGGAAACAACAGCAGCAGCAGCAGCAGCAGTAAATGCAGAAGAAGAGAATGCATGAGGAAGACGAAGTAGATAAAGTGGAGACGGCGACTGAAACGGGGGAGAATCGTGGGCCTAACGACAAAGGAAGCATTAAAAAAGAAGCAGCAGAAGCTAAAAATGACACAAGCAGCTCGAGGCACAGGCGAAGGTAAGCGCAGTAAGTAACGGAAGACCAGAACAATACGGATAGACACAAAAAGTTAATTGACAATACGGTACTTGTTTCCACGATAAGAGAAAGAACAAGGGAAAGAATGTGTAACGCGGTCTGTGCACTAAGCACCCCAGATGTAGGCATTTTTCAGTGGAACTGTACGACAGAAAAAAAGTGACTGGACTTAAAAGGCACCCGTGAGGTAGATATAAGCAAAAGACAGAGGTAAGCGAAAAATATACAGGAAGGAAAAACGGGAAATGACATGAAAGGCCAGTAAGGCAACCGAACAAGAAATGGAGATAAAAAGCATGAAGCCAATGGAAGGGAACACGGTGAACGAAAATGTCAACAGCGGCAGCCAAACGTAAATAAAACAGATGGAGGACCACACGGTAGACGAAAGAAAGACAGACGAACCGAGGTAGAAAAAAATGAACAAGGAACTTCATAAAAAGCGATAAAACAGGGGGACAAGCATGCACGTACATTATTGACAAGCAGCTTTTGCTGCACTGCTTCCTCAAAGAGAGGATAGCCAACTTCGATTCGAAGGTGAGGATCTGCTATGACTACCTAAGAGAAAGCGACAGAAACAGAACCAGCAACACCTCAAGGTGCTGCTCTGGAAGCAGGCATAACGCTTTCCACCTCCAGAAGCAGTGAATAATATGCACGCAGCGCGTATAATCACGCAAGAAAGTACATTTTTGTTGTGCTGCTGCTGCTGCTGCTGCTCTGGTTTAAGGCTTGGCCTCAAAACCCCACTGCTGCTTCTTCCCCTGCAGCAGCCGCTGCAGGTGCTGCACTTGGTGTTGCATTTGCTGGTACTGGTGCATGCGTCTCACAAGCATTCTTTGGTTTGCTTCAAGCTCGCTGGCAAGCTGTTTGAGATCAACTCTTCTTCTGTCCTCTAAAAAGTACTTGCAGTGAGGCGTGTGGTCGATATCTAGCCACAAAGCGTCGAACGGAACCCCACAAGAATCCATCCCGCGCATCGCCTCTTGAGCATCCTTCTGAAACAGCAGCAGCAACAGAAGCATCTGTAGCAAGAGATGTTTGTGCATTTCTTCTGTTTGCTTGTTCATCCCGCTATGTATGTTCCCCTCTTGCTTGCTGCTTCTTCTGTCTACATGTTTGCTGCGTTCTGCATTAGGCTCTCCTCCTTGCTGTTTTGCAGTGTACCCCTGCCTTGTTTCTGCCTCGTTCGGAGCGCTCTGTCTCAGCTAGTTTGTTCCCCCGTGTGCGCCCTTCCGTATACTTCGCCTGCCTGCGCCTCTCCAAGAGCCTATTAGGCGACCTGTTTCTAGCTCTGAATGGGTTTCTCTGTTTGCTTTCCCCGCCTTGTTCTTTTTGGTTGTATTTCTGTCTGTCTGGCTGCCGGTTTGCGTGTTTCTATCCGTTTTGGCTGCATTTTTTCACCTTTCAGTTTGCCTGTTTCTTCCTACCCTCCTGCTTCTCACCTCTTCGGCATATCCCCATCTGGACTGGTGCTTTCCTAGCGCGCCGATTGGGGCCAGCATGGGCAGCCCCAGCGCTACATGCACTTGGCGGTGGACGTCCACAGGGGAGGGCCCGCAGCAAAGCAGGCACTCGAACTCTCCGCCTTCGCTGCAAAACCAACAGGGAATGACGCCTTCTTGCTGCTGCTGCCACTGCCGTTGCTGGTGCTCGTGCTGCTTCTGTTCTTTCTGTTCGGGGGCCTGTTCGTAGTTTACTCTGAAAAAAGTCTCTGCAGAGTTAAGGAAAACGAAAGCAGAGGCCTGACGGCCCCCGTTGGAGCCTCCCGCGTGTGTAGCAAACAGAAAAGGCATGGAAGCGTAAAGAGAAGACGGGCTATCGGGGTCCCAGCCGTAGGCGTCCACGTTGAACAGTCTGAGTAACGGAAGCAGCAGCAGCGGCAACACCAGTAGAGCCAGCTGCACAAAGGGGGAAACAGTAGCAGCTTCTGTCTAGGCAAAGGGTAATTGGAAGTAGCAACAGATGTTAACGACGTTGGAAGAGTAACACCCGCAGCTAAGGGAACGAGAGCAGCAGAGAGAAGAGGAAAGAAAAACTAGGCAATCAGGCAGAAGCAAATATGGTTCAAATAATGCAGGAGGCACAAGCAGAAGACGCCGAATTGAATATTCATTCATAGACGCAGAAAGGGGGCAAAGGAATTAGCAGCAGTCAGGAAAATGGCAGAGATAAAGAAAGACACGCCAGTAGGAATAACGGCAAGGAAACATGCAAACAGGCGGTGTCTGAGAGGTAAAGATGAACAGAAAAATACATATGCAAAAAAAGGGAGATAGGCATGGGTAGAGCAAGACGCCAGCAGGTACAGGAAGGCAGAGGCAGAAGTATTAGCGGTGGTGTAGAAAAGGGCAGAGGCGGATTGTTGCGGTCAAATAAGGCTATGAATGAACACAAGTCAAATACAAAGATAAGGTACGTGCCTGTAAGGCTCAGTGTAGTTTTCGAGGCGGTAACTCGTTGAGTGCTCATAGAGTCCATACACGCCAACAGCGTCAAGAAACGAAATATCACCGCCGACGCTGCATGCACGCCATAGTCTCTCCTCCTCAGACTGATTCTCCTCTTGCATAGCTTGCTGCAGTAGTTGCTGCTGTGAGGCCTGCAACAACTTCTGCAGTAGCTCCTGCTGCTCCACAGGCACGTCTCGCTGCTCTTCAGTCCGCAGCATAGCAGCAATGGGGGGCGCTGCAGCAGCAGCGAAGCGGCAAGAAGCAGCTGGCGGCCTCCACTCCACGTCTATCGCATCTCGCAGTTTGAAAGGCGATACATCAGCTGCTGTTACTGCTGCTTCTGCGGCTTCTGCTGCTAAATTCGCAGCAGTTGCTGCTCCCAGGGCTGCAGCACCTACTGCTGAGGCCGCAGCAGCTGCTGTTGCGCCAGCTGCGTCTGCAGCTGCTCTTTTCCTTTTCTCCGGTGCTGCTTCATCCAAAGTTGAATGTGCTGCCGTTTCTGCTGTTGCTGCTGCTCTTGCAGCCTTTGCCGCTGCATGGGAAGCTGCTGCTTTCAAAGTTGCTGCTTCTGCCGCTGCTTCCTCTGCTGCTGCTGCGTGTACTCTATGAGCCATGTGAGATATTTCCGCTGAGCTTCGCGCTACTGCGATGGTTTGCATGCCATGAGGATCCCTCAAGGCTGCCATACTATCTTCTGAGGTGCCAGCCTTTAACGCCGTAGCTCTCAGTGCGCCGTGGGACTCCAGTTGCACTTGCTGCTGCTGGTGTTGCTTGTTAGGGTTAACAGCAGCAGCGACTGCAGCAGCGGCAGACCTCCATTGCCTGTGAGTGCCGATACTTTCCCAGTTAAGAAGCTGCTGCGCATTCAGGCGCTGGAGGTCTCTGCCGTTAAGCTGCAGAGAAACCGCAAAGGGCTCATGGTGAACGCATACGCTTAGCTGAAAGCTGCAGGGGGCGTCGGAGGTGTGTCGGGCTGCTTCTGCTGCAACTTGTGCCCCTCCTCCCGATGATGCCTTTGATGTGTTGCTGCAGATCCCGTGTTGCAGCCATTCTGAACTGAGGGCGTCCTGAGCGCTGCAATCCAGGTTTGTTGCTGCTGCAGCTGCCTCAGCTCTTTGTCCTGTTGCCGCTGGTGCTGGAGCACCGGCAACAGAAGAGTGTGCTTTCGCAGCTGATGCTGCCGCTGATGCAGTTGGGGGTATGCACTCTGCGACGATGAGCGTCTTGTCTATCTCCTGCTGCACACAACATGTCGGCACAAGCTGCTGCAGCAGCTGCTGCCGGTCCAGCAACAGCTCTGCAACGAAGTGCCGGGGCTCTTGCTGCTGCTCAATCCGCTGCCGCTCCACATGCTCTGAGAGCCGGAGGCGGATGAAACCAGGCGTATAGACAGCCACTTGCAGCAAAAGTAGGAGACCATCGCTGTGGCGGCGAATTGTCATGGAGAAGGTCCACTCATTGTTCAGTTCCTCCCTTTCCTGAGTCTCTTGCTGCTTTTGCTGCTGCTGCTGTTGTTGCTGTTGATGTTGCTGCTGTTGTTGTTGCGACTGCTTGACAAAGAGACGGAGGCTCTCTGGGACGGCCCTATACAGCGCAAGAAACGGCATGGGAACCTGAAGCTGTTGCTTGTTCAGCTGCTGCTGCTGCTGCAGCTGTTGTTGACGGTGCTGCTGCTGCAGCAGCAACAGCAGCTGCGTGTACAGCTGAAACCTGTAACAGAAGGGCGACTCGGCTGCGCGGGTGATGAAGACTGACTCCTTCTCTGTCTCATGCTCCATCTTCGTCTTTCCAGTGAAACACAAATGAAATGAGCCCAATAAATATTTAGGAAGCTTTTTATCCACCCTAAAATGTGCGAATAGGAACTGGAAGCCCAAAGAGCTACACCAGCGAGCAGCATGAGGGGCCCGTTCTCCTCCCTGGGGGCCCCGTCGGCAGCGCCTCTTCAGCAGCCAGGAGCCAGGGCAGCAGCTACAAACAATTAAGTGAGCTCAAGGACTTGAATTGTGGGGCTGGAAAGAAAATTTACCACTCAAGGCATATGGCTTAGGGTGTAGGGACTACAATTTCCGATGTGAGGCCTAGGGTGCAGCATGTGGGAGCTATGACCGTCGACAGTCTAGCGCCAGGCAATCAACGACAGCAACAAAACGGCGCTCAGCTGTAACAGAAGCTGGCAGAAGGGACGGCTGCAGCAACAGGGGGGATGGTAGGAGCGGGAGCAAAAGGGATACTTGCAGCACCAACTGGCAGATCGATAGCAGCAACACTGGCCCAACAAATGCGGTTCCAGCAACAACGCGAGCAACTAAAACAGCAACACCAACAGGTGGAGGCTCACGAGGAAAGTCACGGGGATCACCGGGGCCACTAACAGCGAGAGCAGCAGCAGCCGCAGCAAGAACAGCACCCGCTGCAGCAACCGCTGTTCAGGTGTATGAGCCAGACACAGTGTCCGCAGCCGCAGCTGCACAATTAGCGGCAGCAGCAGCAGCCGCGGCAGCAGCTAAAGCAGCAAGAACCACGGCGCCTCCAGGGTATTCACGACATGGAGGGGGCATCCCAATGCAGCGGCGTCAGCGCTGAGGCTGTTGAATTTGACCTCAGAGACGGCGGCTTGTTTGCCTCCTTATTGGCCTTCACAGTGCCTTCAACAGGTAACGCCTCACACAGCAGCAGCAGCGGAGGGAGCAGCAGCAGGAGAGGCAGTTGTTGCTGCGGCTCCCGCCTCCAGTCCCGGCCTCTTTAGATCCCCTTTTGCTTCTGTCTCTCTGCAACTCTTGTTTGTGTGTCGGTATTTGCCTCTGCTTTGTCTTTACCTCCCACGCTTTGTCTTGGTCGGTTTCCCCTGCCTCTTGCCTCCAGCGCTTCTGCTCTTCTGTCTCTTGTGTTGTTCTGCTTTCTTCTGCACTGCACCTTTTCTGCGTCATGTGCCACTGCCGCTGCTGGCGCTGCAGGTGTTGTTGCTGCAACTGTTGCGTTTCGGCTGCTGTCTTCATTGACTCAAAGCTGTCAGCCTGCCGTTGCTGTTCACTGTGTGTCTCAACGCAGCCCCCGGCGGGGAAGGCGCGGGTGGGGGCCGCAGCAGCAGCAGCAGCAGCAGCAGCAGCGAGGAGGTAGCTGACTGGCAATGCCTGAGAGTTACCTTTGGGCGGGAAGGGCTGCTGCTGCGAGGCGTGTCAAAGGGCCGTGAGGTGTATGGGGAGCTGCTGCTTCCTGTTTCATTCTTTGAGGGCTTCGAGTATCAGCGACAGCAGCAGCAACAACAGCAGAAGCAACAAGAGGGAGAGTCGGTTCTTGTTCCCCTTAAGTCTTTCGTCAACGCGTTGTTGCTCTTTGGGGAATCGGCAAGCAATATACTGCTTCATTGTTTCTGCTGCTGTACCTGCGATTTGGCTGCCGCAATAGGGGCACTGTCACGACAGCTGAAGGGCTGTTGGCCTTGGGTAGCTGCTGCTAGTGCTGTTGCTGCTTCTGCTGCTTGCAGGCTCACATGCGTTTGCGCTACACCTTTGGTGAAGGCGTTCTGCTGCTGCTGCTGCAGCAGCCGCAGCAGCAACCGCAGCAGCAGCAAGTGTTCTCGGAGATAGAGATAAAGACATACGCCGCACAAAATGTGAGCCAAAAAAAGAGTAGCAAGTAACGCATCCCGCCTTTCCGCAGCAAGCTTCACCTTACTGCTGTTGCTGCTGCTGTTGCTGCCGCTTTTGCTGCTGTAGGCATCATCGGGTTGCCTTTCAATTGGCGAGGCTCTAAGGAGAAGCGCTGGAGACACGCGAGATTTTATCTCGATAAACGTATGCCCTTTTTATTGCCACTTCTGCTTCTGGCGTTGCCAATGCTGCCTTTGTTTTTGCTGCTGCTCTGGTGGATCCTGTCATTTGTCTTTTGCCCCTTCCGTTTGAAGTAGAACGCTTTTGCTGGTGCTGGTGTTGCTTTTGCTGCTGCTGCTGCTGCTTCAGCCTCAGCTCTTCCGAGAAGTGCTGCAGGAGCTGCTGTTGGGAGATGATGACACAGCCGCGCGAGTTGTCGTAGAATGGACTCCCCCACGTCCTAAGGTAGCAGCAGGCGCAGCAGCACCAACTGCAGACATAGCAGCAGGCAAGCCAGATGAGGCTGCAGCAGCTACTCGCTCTGGTGCGGCAACAGTGGGGAACAGCAAAGCGCAGCAAATGCCTCTAATGACTCTGGTACGGCAATCTCGAGCATTTTCTGGGTCTAACAACAAGGCGGCAGAAGCTGCTACTGATGTAGCTGTATGTCCTGCTGCTGGTACTTGAAACAAACCAGTATTTCACGCACGTTGCAGTGTCTCTGCAGACGGTCCACGGCCAAATCGCACAACGCGTCTCCTTTCAGCCAACTCTCACGAGCTTTCCCAGCTACAGAGTCGCTAATGCCCACCGGCAAGTTACACAACTGCTGCTGCTGCTGATAATACTGCTGTTGCCACGTTGATGAGCATGCGGCTGCCGATGCTGCCATAGTTGATGGGGCTAGGGCTGGCGCTGCTTGTCTAGATGCCGCTACAACTGAAAGCTACTACAAAAGCTGCAGTAGCAGTGAAGTGCACCAACCGCAGCACCAACGGGAGCAGCAGCAGATGCTACCGCTGCTACTGCAGGAGCCGGTGTAGATACTCTGCAGGAAGCTATGCGGTGTGTGCCGTACGATGCAGCCACGAATTCTCTCTGGCTTCTTTGCAGTCACTTGTTAATCCTTTAAGTAAGATCTGACTCAGTGTCATTCTACACCAGAACCGGCTACAGCAATGCCGCCGCAGCAGGCGTGCAGGAGTCCGCGCAGTGTCTTCAAAAGCCACTATCCCTTAGGATCGTACAAGGGAAGCTGCAGACCTTCCTGCCACCAATGCTGCTGCTACAGCGCTCGCTCTTGCTATTTCTGCAGAGACGGCTCAAGGCCTTCGTCTGGAGTTCTCGAGCGAGGGGTTCCTTCTGGCACAGCTCCGCTACAAGTGAGGGCTTTTCAGGGGCTAGAGTGTCGCGGCACTTCCTCCTAAAGTCAAGCAAACTGCACGCAGCCAATCTAGGAGCAAGTGATTGACATTTGCTTCCGCGTTGCTCACATATATGGTGAATGTTATTCAAACAGGAAGTAAAACTTAAAGTTTAGTGCTGCGAACATCACTTCTCGCTCGCATCGCTCGCATGCAAATGGGCTTGGCGAACTCGCCAAGCTCTCCCTTAGAGGTAAAGCTGACAAAGCGAAGCTTTGGAACTACAAAAGGAGAGAGAGGCAAGGATGAAACACAGGCCCTGCTGCGCGAAGATGTCTGCGCAGGTCTGACGAATCTCCACTTTTCCTGCGCTACGTGCTGCTGCCCTGCGCTGCGCCGGCTTCACAGGAGTTCCTGTGACATGGAGATGGCAGTTGCGCAGCAGAAACACGTGCTGCTGATGTTGCGGCTGTTGCAGCAGCAGGTGCTGCTGCTGCTGCTGCTGCTCCTGGCTCTGCAGCCGCCAATCCTGCCCGTGCTGGTGCTCCGGTTGCTTTCCTGGCTGCCCCAGCTGCAGCGGCCAGTAGCACCTGTTCTGCAGTAGCTTACGCAGCAGTAAGCTGCTGCAGCAGTACGCTGCTGCAGCAGTAAGCCTCCTTTAGCTACAATTCTCTTGGCGAACAAAACTCTTTCTCTCCACTACTCTGCGAGCAAAGCGCTTCCGCCCCTGCCCTGACCTGTTCGGGGGTCTCGCGTTCTGTACCTGCTGCCGGCGCTGCTGCTTGAGTGTTCGTTGCTGCCTCGAATGTTGCTGCTCCTGGTGTAGCTTCTGCTGAAGTCGTCTCCCTCTGGTGAACACTTTCCTCAGAGGAAGCTTCTGAGCTTCTCGCTGTCAGCATGCTGCCGCTGCTGACTCTGCTGCTCAAATTGCTGCTCCTCGGAGTTCTGAATACGCTCCCGGTGCTGCTGAAGCTGCCGTTGCTGTCACGTGCTGTGCTCCGAGGAGACGCAAAAGACAGCGAAACTGAACGGGGCCGGCTAGATGGGTGCTGCGCTTCCGGAGGCAACTCTTGACCTTGCTGCTGTTGACCTGCAGTTTTCGCTTTTGTTGCTGTTGCTGCTGCTGCTTCGGTTGCTCCAGCTTCTCGTTCGGCGCCCCGATCAAGTGAGGAGCTTGTGGGCTGATCCTGCCACTGAAGAGCCAGTGGCGGCGCATCTTCTTGGGTTGCATCTCCATCAACGTTCGAATGGCCTGCCACTTCCGAATGCTGCTGCTTTCTGCGGCTCTCTCGCTCCTGCTCCTGCGGGTGGCTCGGAGTCTGCAGCGCATCTGCCTCTCCCTGAGGGAGAGATGACAGGGGTTCAACTTTGCAAAGCCCCACAGAAGCCGCTGCGTTAGACCCCACATCCGGCGGATCTGCAGAGTGGCCAGGGTAGAGTTGACCCAACAAGGGTCTTGAAGGGTGCAGCCGCTGCTGCGGCTGGTGCTCTTGCTCGAGCTGCTGCTGCATGCGCATGAGGCTGGCCCATGACTTCTCAAAAGCCTCTTCTGCTGACCGGAGAAGAAGTAAAGAAGTTGAACGGTCCCGCAGCTCTACGTCTCCTGTTGCTCTGCTTGCCGCAGCAGCAGCCTCCGACTCCTTGTAACGAGTGCCGTCGCCAAAAAGCCCCTTTTTAGGCAAAGAAACTCGCAGTTCCTCTTCTCCCTCTTCAGGCACCACAGGAAGAGCCTCTCTGCCGCTGCAGAACGGATCTGAGCTACTGCTGCTGCTGGTGTCTCCCCTTAGCCTGCCCCTGCCGCTACTGTTGGAAGGTGCTATTTGGGCTATGGAGCTACGGGGGCTCTTCGGGTATGCCCCGCGTCCTGAAGACCCTTTGCCCGGTGGCTGTCTGCTGCTGCTGCTGCTGCTGCCGCTCCCTGCATCGACGCACTCCCCCACGTACATAAGAGATGGCCGGGCACTGCGGGGGATAGGGCAGACGGAGAGAAGACGGTAGCTCAGGACGGCTGCAGCAAGAAACAAATGCAGCAGCAGCAGCGGCAAATGCGAAAAAGAGGCAGGTGACGTGGGACCCACAAACGAAGCTACAAGAAGCACTGCGGAAATATTGAAGCCCTCCGCAATACGTAAAGCACCAACAAAGCCCTAATTGTTTCCTTCAATGGCGTATGAAAGACACAGAGATCTAGTGCAAGAGGCGTTCGTGCACGACGCAAACAGCAACGCCGCCAAGGGGCAACCAGCTGTAGCAGCAAAGGCCGAAGCTGCAACTAAAGCGGCACTATTATGGTGTCATGAAAGCACCTTACCCCGATGCTTCATGACGGCCTCTTGATGGGATGACTGCAAGTAGGAAACGAAACAGAAAGAGAGCACACCAAAAAGCATTCAGCGGCAGGAGTAGCAGCGAAGGGCCAGGAGCAGCAGCACTCGCCGACTAGTTGTGGGCAGCAGCAAAGACACTTTCGAGCAAAGCAGCAGCAATTGCAGAAGCCACAAGGCATAGCCTTCGTTGCAATAGCAACGCAGACAAGAAAAGGCAACTGGAAGGCTGCCGCAACACAGAAATGACGGCAGCGACAACAGGGACCCAATTGGCATAGAATCAGAACTGGGACAGCGAAGACAGCGTCAGTACCAATAAAACGGCAATTTTAAGCAGCCACATACTCTCCTTCGACGTGAACCGCAGCAGCCGCAGCAGCAGACTTGGAAACAGAGGGCTAGCATCCTGTTGCTGCGCCCTCTGGACTGAAGACCCTTGGTTGCGAGCCCAGCAAGGCGTTTATACAGCTCACATGCTGCTGTATGAGCCGTAGTAGCCTTAAGCTCGTGATCACTAGGGATGCAGCCAGACAGCAGCAGCAGTAGGGTCGTGAGTGCACTCCAGCAACATAGCAATCGGCTTTAGCAACAACAGCATCAACAAGCCCTGAGCTCCAGCCGAAGTCGCTCCCTTCAGTGTCAGCAGAAGACTCCTTGAATATCCTTGATATTCGCTCTAAGAAGCTGTCATGAAGCAGGATGGCCGCTTTAGGCGCTGCTGTGGTTGGCGCTGCTGCAGCTGCTGCCTGTGGAGCTGCTCCTATTGCTTCTTCGACAATTGGCTAATTTATTAGTTAGGATCGAGGAAAGAAAAAAAAATTGATCGTCCGATGCACTGCAGTTGAACAGCTGCTGTGCCGGAGCCAACCGATTGTGCCGCACTGGCAGCAAGGTTCGCTGCTGATGCTGTTACTGCAGCAGTAACTGCAGCAGCAAAAAAGCAGCTAACACAACCAAACACAAGAGAAAACCACTGGAAAAAATGCTTCCCGAAAATAACCATTTCGTGCAGACCTCTACACATGCACTTGTCTGGACAGCTCGATAGCAGCAGCGGAGGTCCAGTGGCCCTGGGCAGCGCCGACCAGTTCTTCTCCAGCGGCCAACATGAAATGGTCACTCCTGCAATATCAGACCTTGTAGGAAAAGCCTTCGTAAATATGTCTGTGACTTCCTATCACCCTTTCTCCTTTCCGCGCGGCCTCAGCCGACTCGCCCAACAGCACCGGAAACAGCAGTAGCAGCTACAACTGCGGCAGTCGCGAGTGACAAATTGAAGACGAACCACACAGACTTCCCCACCCGGTTAGTAAAACATATGGTCCCGTGTCATCCCAAGGAGCAGCAGCAGAGGCTGCAGCGACGGCAGCAGCAGCAGCAGCAGGCCGGCAGCAGGGTGTCTCCTCGAATGGTCAGCTGGCCGCTAGAGTCTCCCCCTGCAGCAGCTGCAGCGGCAACTGCTGCTGGAGCTGTCGTTGTTGTTGCTACACTCCACTAGGCGGTTTCCTTCGCTGCGGCAGCAGCAGCAGCACAGCAGCAGGACGACCGCAACATCGCGTTGCTGTCACTGCTGTGTTCTCACACGGGCTATTGCCTAGCTGAAGCCCCTAAGCCCTCAACTATCGCCTCCAAGTTCCGAGCCATCAGCTCCGAGCTGCACCCACTGAGCTTTGGCCCTTCTCCTTTCTCTAACACCCCTGCACGCACAGCAACGGCAGATACAGCAGCGACAGCGCCAGCTGCAACGGCAACGACGACGCGAGAAGTGGCAGCAGCAGCAGCAGCAGCAGAAACAGCAGCTGCAGCAACAGCAGTAACGTTAGTGACTGCCGTACAAGAGTGACAGACTCAAAGAACACCACAGCTACAACCCTAGTATTTTCAAGGAGTAGTAGTCGGCTGCAGCAACAGCAACAGCAGGATTGGCAGCAAAGCAGCAGCTGCGTCAGTAGAAGCAGACATGCATTTCGGAAGGTTTTTGCTTATACCCGCCGCCTGCGCACTTCCTGCAGTCAGTGTTTCCTTAAACGGAACAGCAAAAGACAGGAGGTCAGAAGCGGCTGCAGCAGCAAAGGCAGGGACAGCAGCAGCAAAAGCAATAACAGAAACGGCAGCAGCAGCCGCAACAATTTCCAACGAGAATGCACCGCAGCAGCAGCGCCTCCTCAGTTGAGAGGGCTCGCTCGGTTTCTCCCCTGGCATCAGTCGGGAGCCGCGTCGCCTCATCTCCAGCAGCCCCCCCCAGCAGCAGCAGCAGCGCCTGCAGCCACATTTGCAGAAGCATAGACTGGCTGGTGACGGAGTGTCTTTGCCCTCCCTTTGATTTGTCCTTTAAGCAGCGGCTGCGGCAGCAGCAGCGCTTCTTGCTGCTGTTCTTCGTCCTCAGCGCCGTGGCCGGTGCCTACCCTTTCTTTTTCCTTTCATATGTGGAGGCCCAGTACCCGCACATCAGGCCAGTCCATCTCCCAGACACAGCAGCACCAGCAGCACCAGCAAAAGAGGCTGCAGCAGCGGCGACTACCGCAACACCACCTACATGGAGCAGTGACCATTTCCTCGACAATGGCAAGGAGAAAAGCTCTGCGATGGATCCAGCTCCAGCATATGCTGCAAAAGCGGCTGGAGGTCCTGCAGCGGCAAGCCGAAGACTTCAATCCTCAGAAGGTCCAGCTACCTCAGAGAATAGAGCAGCAGAAGGAGAACGCCCACAACCGCCAGAAGTGCCCACAGCAGCAGCAGAAGATGCAACAGAACCAGCCGCAGAAGAAACCACAGCAGGAAATGCCTCCTCTATGTCTCTTATTAGTTTTGTTGCTTCCAAGACCGAGCATCTGTACAGCCTGGATCGAGGGCTGCTCTACTGCCTGCTGTTCTGGGGTTTGCTGCTGCTGCTGCCGTTCCAGGCGCTGCTGCTGCTGGTAGCGGTGGCTGTCTCAGCGCCGCCCACGGCGGGTCCGTCAAGTCCTCCGGGTGGGCCCATAAGCTTCTCCAGAGGCAGCACGGGGCCGGATTGTGTCAGTCGTATAGTTGCAGCGAATTCACGGTGGCTCTCTTGGAACTGCTGCTGCTGCTCGCCTGTGTTTGGGACACTTGCAGCTTTAAATGTCATGTCGTTTTTTGAAGCCGGGCCGCAGCAGAAGCCGCAGCTGGCCATTCTCGCTTGGTCGCAGCTAGCTATCAGTTTGCTGATCCATCTGCCCGTCGGGATACATGCAAGCAACGTGCTGCGGCTCTATGAGAGTGCCGTGTCACTGCAGCTGCTGCAGCACGCTCTAGAGACAGACCGGCATGCAGCACCGCCCGCGCTTCAGTCTAAGCTCCCTTCGAAGCGGCAGATAGAGCAGCAGCAGAAGCAGAAGCTGGAGGTGCAGGGGGACGAGACTTCTGCAGGCGGGTTCACAGAAAAGCTATACTATAGCAGCAACAGCAGCCGCTTGTTGCGGTCATTCGTGGAAAGAGGCCTCAAGGCCACTGCCGAAGAAACAGAGACAGAGGCAGAAGCAGAGCCGCTGCTTTCTAAGTCCCCTTCTCTTGAAGGCAGAGACCCCAGTGCCGTCTGATGAAGCGGCTGGTCGGCCAGCTAGCCAGTTAGCTACTTTTTTTAGCTTTACAGCTACGTACCTAGCTACTGAATAGCTAGCAAGCTATAGAGCTGGTTAACCGGGTCAGTGAGGCAGACAGCAGATCTCTGCAGCCATTAATATTGCTTTAGATTTTCTGGCTAGCTGGCTTTGAATATAGCTAGCCCGCTGACTGCCCCTGTTGTACTGAGCTAGCTGTTCAGCAGCTTGGCGATCTGGGGGCTCTGTCGCGGCTTTGAGCTGGTGGCTAACATGCCTGCAGCCGCTGTGCCTCAGCTCGCAGCAGGCGCTTGCCGCAACAAATGTTTAAAGTTTTTTGATTAGCGCCACTTTACTTTCTACTATCAGCAGCTACAGGAGTGGCTGGCGTCGCAGTGGAAACAGCAGAAAGGCCAGACTGAGCAATTTTAGGTGATGCAGAAGCCAGCAAGACAAGCCGCCAACATAAGCACCCGCACAAGCTATCAAAACAGCAGCAGCAACTTCAGCAGCAGAAACAGCCATAGGAACAAGTGCTAATTATTAAAAAAAACAATCTAGGAAACGGCCACTAGGGGCTGGTTTTTTGTTGCGGCGAACTCGCTGCTGCTGCTGATCTCACTTCTCGCCGCAGTTGCAGCAGCAACTGCTGCTGCTGCAAATCTCCCTCCCACGCTCTACGAAGCAACTGCTCACTGTCCGCATGCGAAGCTGCATCGTCAGGGCTTTCTTTCTGTTGTGGCTGCCCCTGCCACTGTTTCTGTCGTCGCCGCTCCAGCTGCTGCTGCACCAGAGCATGTAAAGACTTGCGCTGTGTCAGCAGCTCGTTGGGGGCAACAGAGTAGGGGGACGGAGGCAGTACTGCAGTGCGAACAAAGTCATCACCACTTTCGTCGCTGCTGCTATCGCTGTTGCTGCGTTTGCTGCTTCTGCTGCTCTTCCTGCTGCTGCTGCTGCTGATGATGCTGCGCCGCCTCACTGTTTGGCTGCTGGTGTCACTGAGCGCCCTGCTTCTTTCGCGACGCTGGCCGCTGGGGCTGCTGCTATTGTTGTAGGTTCGTCGCCCTGCGCTGGTCGTGCTCAGAGAGCGGCGCATAGATACGCTCAGCAGCTGCTGCCGTTTGCCCCTGCTACTTGCTGCGTCATCCAGCAAAGACCCGCTGCCAGGGCTGCTGCGCCAACGGCTACTATCAGTCCCTCTAACGCTGCTGCTGCTGCCGCTGCTATCAAATATTTCTGGGTGCATCTGTCTGAAAGGAAGATGGCTACTGCGCCGGCGAGGGGGCGAAACTGTATTGCTGCTGTTGGTGCTGCTGCTGCTGCTATTTGGTCGTGGGCCGGAGTGGTGCTGCGGTGGCTCCTCATGTAGCGGAGCCGCAGCCGCAGCAGCACCCGCATACATGGCTGCTGCCTCCTGCATGGGCTCGCCCTCTTCCTTCAAGTCCTCAAGATGAAGCGAACCGGTTGGCAGGGCAGGACTGTGAAGCCACATCTGCTGCTGCTGCTGCTGCTGCGATTGCTGCTGTTGCTGCTGGTCCCCGCCCGCTGCCTCTGCTTTGAAAAGGCGTGGCTCTGTCTGCTGCTCCTGCTGCAGCTGCTGCCGCCACCGCTGCTGCACTAGCACATCTTGCTCAGAGGTTTGGGAGTGGGAAAGAAAAGCCTGGCGGGAGAAGGAGAGACTCAAAGCCTCATCCTGCAGCTGCTGTTGCTGTGCCTGCTCTTGCTGGCGTGGAACTGTGGGCGCCAGCTCTGGCAATGCATCATCAGATGCGTCTGCTGCTGCTGCTGTCGCTGCTGCTGCGGGTCTCCCTTCGTCCCTCCACCTGAGCCGCTGCGAAGGGCCCGGCATAGACAGGGCTTCTCTGCTACCACTGGTGCTGCTGCCGCGGCTGCTGCTGATGCTCCTGCGGCTGCTGCTGGTGCTCCTGCGGCTACTGCTGCTGCTGCTGCTCAGGGAAGCTGCCCGCCTCCTGAGAGCCTGGGAGGGGTGCGGCAGTCCCAGCAGGTGTTGCTGTTGTTGCTGCTGTTGCTGGTGATGGAACGCTCCAATGCGCTGCAGCACAGCCCTGAGAGCCAAAGCGCCACAGAGTAGAGTTATGTGTTGCAGCGACTGCAGCAACAGCAGGTCTACCACCGCTAGAAGAAGCAAGAACAGGCAATTAACCAACACAAGACTTACTGTCTAGCAGCAGCCCTGTGTTTTGCTGCAACCTTCCAATACGTTAGAAACTTCCTCATTTGTTGCTGATGTCGCAGCAGCAACTGCCGCTGCAGCCGCTGCTGTGCTGCTTGGCGCCGCTGTTGACGCTGCAAGGCTAGGCCTTGCCATTCCCGCATCACACGCTCCAGCAAGACACCAGTAGCTAGCTGTTGCTTCTGCTGCAGCCGCTGCTGCAGCTCAGCTGCTGCTGTCCGAAGCCTGCGACTTTGCTCAGCGTAGCCTTTCCAAAAGGACACCACACGATCTGCACAAGCATGCAGGCACTGCAGCAAATGAAATGCCTAGCGGGGGCAGCTACAGCAGTGACCACGCCGCTGCAACAGACAAGGATCGCTGTCTAATTGACACGGACTGGCCAAAGCAGAGACGCAACAAGTGCCGTTGGAGCTCTTGCAGCACTAGTCTCACTTAGTTGTCGGATTTGTTGCAGCATAAAGAAGTGCTGCAACAGCGCGCTAGC